GCGTAAATAGTTATGGTAGTAGCGTCAGTTTTTAAAGATGATTTCCAGTCTATACTGCACAGTCTCGGTACCCTAATTTAGAAACATAAAAAAACCTCACTTGTTGGAAATTACGTGAATCAATGTTATTCGTTATGATCCACATACTTTATCTTTGAGGCCTTTCAAATTCCTTTTCCAACTGTTTCATTGATTTTTACGGCTGCAAAGTTGTTTCATCAAGTGATATGAGAAAGAACGAAACCTAAAGCTTTGTGTCCATAATGGCGGTTGACACAAAACTTTGAATTCACTTCGAGTAAGTAGTTGCAAAATGTTCACATTTTGTGACGTCATGCATGAAACAAAGCCAAAAACGTGAAGAAACTCTCAAGGGTGCGCAGTACGGACTGGAAATCATCTTTAACAGTTAATTTTCTATGGCTAAGAAAACCAACCTTCAACTTTTAAGAGCAATGCGTGTATAAGGTAATGATCTTTAAATACTGTATGTCAGAGTCACATAGCCTGTATCCAAATAATAATATTTTGAAATTTGTAAATAGCGCTCACAATATTCATATACTTCATGTAACTAACCTCATACATACAATAAACACATCAAAATACCTTTGAATAGTGTCCTGAGTGTAAGTGGTTCCAAATTTAGTTGATTAGTAGCAGGGGTGGATCTAGGAGGAAGATGCAGGGGGTGCGTACCCCCCTTGAGATGAAGCCTTCTTCTTCGTGTTTGCTTTTAAAATTTGTTTACCTCACGAGTCAGTTGTGCCATTCCTTAATGGAGCACCCCCTCCTGAGAAAAATCCTGGATCCGCCCCTGAGTAGCTGTGCATCTCAGTGTTTGTGGGGTCCCTGGTTGTTTACCATTTATATGAAGGAACCAGTTCATTAACAGTTCCTGCAAGTGGTAAACAGAAGTGCCTGATGATAAGTTCCATTCAGATTGGCCATTTACCATTTACACACACAAAAGAGCATTTCACTGAAAGAGAGTAGAATGAGTTTGACCTGATCATAATTTAAAGACAGCAGTAAAAAATTGCAAATGCACATTTCCACTGGCATATTTTGGTTGGTAATTTTGGACCATCTCTCAAGACATTCTCTTTATTTTTAAAGTTTCTCAGTCTGAGGAGCCAGAATTGTCACACCATCTCCATTCTCACCAAAATTTCTGGAATTTTTGGGTAAATGGTAAACAACCCCTCACTCAGTTTGGTGGAAAATTTTGCCACTATTTCTCTTGGGGCAAAGGGGTTAACATTGCTTTTAAAACTGGCTGACTGCCTATAAAGGCTGGTTCTAGTCTGTTGCACAGACATTTTGTATGGGAAGTAGGCACTGAAGCAGGTCAAAAAATAGGGAGAGAAAAACCTAATACCAATACCATTGGAGTTTTCAAGGAGGAATATGAGCAGCACTTTAAAAATTATGTAAGCCTGATGAAGGCCACGTATATCTGGTTTTTGCTGAAGCTCTGGGCATAATAAACTATTACGTACAAGAAACAATCAATTGTAAATCTGAGTTGAGTCCTGGTAAGGCTACACGGACTCACAGATATGCAACACATGCAGAGGGTTAAAGAGGCTGTTTGCAGCTGAGGTTGTGATCAAAATTTTCCTAAATATATTATATAATGACGATGGGCTATAACTTAAAGAATGCCAGAAATGGAAAGAGCATATTGAAAATACCAATATGGCTAAGTTTAAGGCCCCTGGCATTAAAGAGTAAGTTTATATGTCAGTTTGAATTTTCAGAAAATTTAGAGGATTTATAATGAAAATGTTGCTGAAAACCAAGGCCTTGCTCTCCAACTATCAACTTTTTCCAAACAAATCTTCTTAGGTTTTTAAAAATTCAAACCGTCATAAAATCTCATTTTTCAATGTCAGGGGCTTCAAACTTGGCCATTTTGATTATTTTAGACAGCTTTTTCCATTTCTGGCATTCTTTGAGTTACAGCCCATAATTTTATGAAAAGTAGGTCACATGGTAAAGCTGCAAAGGGCCTATTGCAACATGAACAGAGATTTCTGGTGCATGCTCCCCACGAAAATGTCTACAATTTTTATCCTGCAGTGTAATTGAAACTGTACACCACATCCTCTCTGGCTACCGCATTGACTGTCCTGAGACAAAGACAGGCAAGGTTCAGTTACATTCCAAAAAAACCTGTGTTTTCCCAGTAATCATTTCTCTTTTCAACTCACAATATTATTTCATCAAAGTAGCTGGTCAGTCAGCACTTAATGAGAAGCCTGCATGTCTGACACTAGATAATGTATGGCCCATAAACAAGAAGAGTGTAGTCAATAAGAGATACGCATGTTCATAACATCCATTTTTTTATTAGTTAAGACTGAACTTGTGCACTAGAAGGTATGATATTAATTGCATGCACACATCAATGGCTAGATTCAGACAAATTCAGAAATTTGCTGCGAGCAGAGCTATGCAAAATTTATATGACTAAAAAAGGCACACAGCAGTGTCTACAGCACAAGAGCGGTTACAGGCTTGACAAGCCTCAAATAGGTTAAAGCAGTGGACAAAATGCAACTTTTTGGTACCAAAAATTTCACATTAAGCAACATCACAGTAGTCAGGTTGATGAATGAATGCTATTTGTGATCTGAGCAGTGAAAGAATTGCACACATTCTTTTCAGCCAAATGACAACAACACTTGTAGCTAATGAATAATGGTCATCTACAATGATGTCATTGGTTCCTTAGACAGAAGGTGTCATTTCCTTACAAGAGTATGTACACTGTATGGCGGATATGGCAATCTTACTAATGTATTTATAACACAAGGCAAAGATCTGTTCCACAGAGCAGTGATTGACATGCTGTTATGCATCAGGACCCTTGGATCTTGTACCAATCAGTTCTGTGCATTATTTGACATATTTTTCCATGAACTTTTTGTGGAATTCTGAACGCAAGGTATCATTTATGAAGTCTTGCCCCTGAAAAGAGTAGGAAAATTAAATTACCAGTCAATATTGTCACCATGTAAAAGTAACATATATACCAAACTTAAAATAGCAGGTAAAATGTCTTACTTTCTTTTTCCCTTCATCTCCCTTGGCACAGTTCTTGAACACAACATCGTCATCCCATCTAATACATAAAAAATTTAAAAAAAAACACCAGGTAAGAAGGCATATGAAAGTGCTGGAAAAAATTGTTCTTAATATGTATCAGGACATGTGATCTGTCAAATCTCTCTTTTGGCCCAACATTATTACAAATTTAGTCAAACAATTAGCATTTTATGTCATCAGCATACACAAAAAGTCCATAGCCACACAAGAAGTAATACGAATGCTAAATGTAATGTACAATGGGGTAATTTTCAATGCACGATTATCCTTATGATTTGTTTCACATGTTTCTAAGTAAATATCATTAATTTAGGTTTCTTCTCTCATTTTGGTGCTCATAATGTATGATCTTTGTGTAACATTACTGTAGTCAGACCATTTTCAAGATTTGGTAGAAATATGCAATGACCAAGAGTTGGTCATCACCACAGTTATTTTTATTCCTGTTTAAAATTGAACACAGTACTCAAAGCTTTACTGCTATTTGAATGTGCACTCTGTGATATGAAATGGTTCTTTACATCACAATATTATAACTATTATATAGTTAAGGCACATGACAGAAACACTTTTAATTGTAGCCCACCTTCTTTTTACTTTAAAATTGTTCTGTGTATTCAGTAAAGGATTTCCAGTCATGATATTTTCCATTCTTATTCTTTCCTCTTCTTCTTTCTTCTCTCTTTCCTGATAAGCAAGATGCAGCAGTTAGAGATTTAGACATGTCTGTTTTAATTGATAAAAGAAGCGGGGAACGTATATCAAAGGCCAAGCCTAAATTATGTAATGCATCAAGTCTGCTCCTCAACCTGTAGCTTTTCAACACTGACTTCTAATAACGTTTTGCTTCATGAAAACAGCTATAAGAATCCAAGAGGAGGACTTATTGCAGCCTCAAGTGAGGAACCACATGATCAGAGATGCCAACCTGAAAAAAATTGAAATTTGGGAGAACACCACAAAAATGCATCAAATATTCCAAAATGTTGCCCTGAAAAAGGCCAAAAATCAGCCAAAATAAGCATTTTCTTTTGTATCCAGGAGATTTGGTGACCTGTACAGGAGACCAGGAGATTCAGTCTGTATCTGGAAGATCTCCAGATAATCTGGGAGAGCTGGCATAGATGCATGATAGAAATCCAAGATTGCATGTATAAGAAAGGACATCTTGAGCCAGAATATGTGAGAGAAAAACAACCGAGAATCTAAGCATGGAAGAGTAACGTGGGAAAAGTTAATGAACCCAAAGCAAGCCAAGTGCTAACAAGAGAAATCAAACCTTTCTAGCCTCTTCTTGTGCACGTTCTTTTTTAATTCTTTGCAGTTCAGCAAGAAGTTCTGCAGTGTCATCTTCATCATCACTAAAACAAAATATACATGTACATTGTAACTTATTATCAACAAATACATAGATATTTGCTTGTTCTGCACTTCAACAAAGACAAAAGACAGACCTATTCCACAACCAAATATCCCTCACTGAAAAGGTCTGGAAAAGACCATGTGTTCTCTGTTTTAAACTCTGCACATGTATACATGTACATGCATAAGCAAGATGCTACAAGTTCAAAAATGTTGCACATAATCAAAGAGAAAAAACGAACTACACAATATTGTTTTCAAGTTAGTTAAGCAGCTGTTATCCAGACTTATAAAAGCATGGTATTAGTGAGTTACATGTATGTTCAGGTTATCCCATCCCCTCTCAGTACAAATATATTGCATCTAAGATAAAATTTTTCACTACAAAGAGAAAATTCCTTTGTCCATTGGATATACACGTTCTGTACGTTGAGCTTTAAGGTCATTCCTCACATTTGCATTGCTCATCCTTACTGTGCATAATTTATGGCGTCATTAGCGCGCGTTCGTGCACGTGCATATTGAAAACATGATGGATTTGCCGTGATATTGAGCTCTGTCAGTTGAAAAATAGCTCTAGCTCACCAACGAACACGGGCACCCCAATTTTTTTTCCAGTCATTGTAATCAACTAATCATAAGCTTTGCGTGAGAAAAGACTGATTTAATTTCTATCGCTGGAAATTGAATAAATAAGAAAAATAGCAGATACACTGTGGTCTTTTCTATTTTGCAGTCAGTAACCACGTCAAGAAATTTGGTTCAAATTTTTAATCAACGATTTAGCTTTCTGTCTGAATCAAACTTAAAATGTTTATTTGTGTCCAACACAATGTATTGACTGTAGTTTAATGCGTGTTCTCATGATTCTGGGTTCACAAAGATTTTACAATTACTGGGAATGCATTCTTATAATAAGCATTAAATAATGCTAAAATGGGACATTTTCAATGCCTCACTACTCCTTAATGAGCATGGGCACCCCCTTTTTTATTTCAAAATTGAAGTTATCATATGATAAATATTCAGTGGACAAAGTTTGAACAAAAATCTATTGTCCCTTTTTTTTTCAGAGGAATTACCTTAAGAGATGCCGAACAAGAAAACATTATTTTGTGACTACACACAAACGTTTCTTTCTATAAATCACAAAATAAATCTAACTTATAAATCCTACATTCAATGGGAACGAAAAAAATACAAACTACCAACACACCTTTCATCAGAGTCATCGTCATCATCATCATCAACTGGATCATCAGCATCCAGGTTTGAGGGAGGGGGTTGATCTAGCCGGGGTCTTTTTGTCTGTTCAGCAGTTGATCTGCTTCCTTTCTCCTTGGTTCTTTCGCGGGCTGCCTGACGTTCACGTTCTTCCAAATCTTTGCGGAAGTCTTTGCTACGCAGTTCTTCAACAGTATCTTGACCTTTTTGTCTATGGGTTGAGATGTCTTACATGTAAACTAGAGTAAAGCACTCTATGACCAGTCCATTACTCTATTAATGAACCCTCTCCTTTAATCCCTTAAAAAATCTACATTTCAGGAGTGGTTCAGAGTTCAATTTGTGTGTTTATACGGATTTTTTTTTAAATAAAATAACATAAAATTAAAAGACTGGATACTGTTAATTGTGATCATCACGTCGTCCAAGTCCAACAGTCTGAGAGTGTATTCAAATACCTACATTCAAAAATAGGCTACAAAATAAAGGCACATCAACGACAGAAATTTGTCATCAACCTACCTGTGTTTTAGTTTTGTGTGTGAAGGCAAGTCGCGACTCGAGTACTGTTTTGACAACGCTGAAAGATCTCCTTCGCCCTTTCCGCGGCCCCCTTTTGCGGTGTCCCATGTCGGTCTAGCCGCGGTTGTCATATTTCCACGCTTTCTTCGCTACTAAATATCTCTTATGCTCTTCTGTAGTCACCAATTTACTGAAAAGAAATGTGTAAACTGCTCTTCGCTTTCACGAGTTTTCGAATTCAATATGGCGTCCCTCGATTAATGACCGCTGACCAAATGTTAACCTTTCGTTTGTCGTGTACAAACCACTGGTTTGTACCTCGGTATCTGGCTGTCCCTCGCATGACACCCCGCAATGAATATTTCCTTCAAAAATTACGAGAGTGGGTGATTATTCACGATATTTCAAGGAAGTGACCATATTGATAGAGTAGGTAGGAGAATTTGTTCTCAGGGCCCCTTGTTACCTCTTTGACTTCATTGCCACTAGACGATAGCCGTGTCACTGATGTTCTTACCATTTTTGAGGTTTACTGTGATCAATTACTGAAGAGATGCACGGCAACAAGGAATCTTTTATTACATGATAGAACACAAAAAGGTTAATGACATCATCTAGATACTTCTGTCCTCAAATTGATCATAAGAACCAATCAAAAAGCACTTCATTCTCTCCCACTTGTTCACACAATATTAAAGATATTTATAATCCACAAAATATGTTTGCTCACACTAGTTTGGTTGATTGGTTTAAACGGATCATGTGACTGAAATGTGCAAAAAAAAAAAAAAA